ACTTTGTAGTACAACTTTAGTACGCGGAGTATCTGGGGAGCTGGAAGCTGAGAACTGGTGACTTTGCAGTGCAACTTTAGTACGCGGATGAGTCATCTCTCGCGGCTGTGTCATCTCTCGCAGCTGCTCTGGCGCCCCTGCAGCTGAGTCATGTCTCCCGACCACCCGGCTCTCTTAAAAGGTTGACACACACACAGAGACCCACGCACTGCCTCAACTTACTCGGAGTCACAGACAGAGACTCATACACACACAGACATTGATACACACACACAGAGACCCACACACTGCCTCAACTCACTCGACTTAACACTTCACACTGAACACTTAACTCACACTCTGACTTCCTACGTGATGAAAAATGCTTTCGGGCCACTCGTCGTCTAGTTATGTTTTTTGTTTTGCTTCAAATTGTCTAATCGCTGGTTTCTGCTGTTCCCGCATTGTTACACTTGCAACATATTTCACAAATATATGGCAGCAGTTGCACTCTTTGGCCTGGTACATGTCATACATCTTTCGCTTGGCTTCCTGCTTGATGGCCGCCAGTGGCAGTTTGTGCGTAAGTGCATCTCTAGTCATAGTGCCCTGGCTTGGAGCATGCGACAAAAGGACATGGTCACCGCCGCGATGCCATATCGCAACTCATGAACATTATCCAAACATACATACATACATACATGCATGCATGCATGCATACATACATATATACATACATACATCAATACATGCCATACATACCATACATACATACCATACCATACCATACCATACCATACCATACCATACCGTCGTGCACGCATACATACATACATACCATACCATACCATACCATACCATACCATACCATACAAACATACATGCACGCATACATACATACATACGTACATACATACATGCACGCGTACATACATACATACATTCATGCCCCAAAGAAGCTCAGTCTCGGTCAGGCCATGAGCGCCAATGAGACCTTAAGCAGCCCCTCCACTCAGGCTGGGCCAACGCAACCTGAGACCGCATGGACGGGTTTGCGCAGAAAACTCCATGAACCCCAGCCCAACAATGTCTGAGCAGACGGAGGAAGAGCTGATGGAAACAGACCCAGAGCCTGATGAAGGGCGCATGGACGGGGACTACTTCTGAAAGACGCCCAACTGAGGCACTGACCGGCACTAGGCTGGCCAAACCGGCCATTCGCAACCACCCAACTTTAGGAAAAACATACGTACATACATACATACATACATACATACATGTATACATACATACATACGTACATACATACATACATACAGACAGACAGACAGACATACATCATAACATAACATAACATAGCATAACATAATATAACATTACATACATACCTTACCTTACCTTACCTTACATTACATTCCATTACATTAATACATACATACATACATACATACATACATACATACATACATACATA